AGGCCTGACTCGCTGCTCAGCCGTTGATTCCGCCACAGTAGTCGTCGGCGATCATCATCTCGCCGGTGTAGTGGAGGCAAGCAAGCTTGGTCGAAGTCAGGAGCATGGGCCATTGCTGTCGAGAGGAGGGGGGTGGTGGCCGATTAGGTGTTCAGATTTTGGGAGGGTTTTGAGAAATAATTTCAGATTTCTTTTGGTTAAATTTCAGATTTTTTTTTTTCCTCCAAAACTTTAGATTTATGAATTTTTAATTGATTTTTTAATAATTAATAGTTTTTATTCTAATTTCTAATGTTTTATGTTTTAAAATTAGTGTCACATTAATAATCTGTTAGTGACGGGAATTTGGGTGGAAGATTGTGAATAGCAGTTTTTGTGTAAATCAAGATTTACTGTGATGTTAAATTGCTAAAATTAATAGCTAAATCTTGAGAGAAAGTTAAAAAAAATAAATAAATAAACAAATGAAGGGAAAAGAACAAAGGAAGGAAAACAAATCAAAGATGAGCAAAAATTAGAATAATATACAAGTCCTATTTACTACCCGCTTTTACTTTCAAACGAATTAGAAATACGTATTCCTATAATTTATGTAATCATAATAATCCAGTTTATGACTCTATACTCTTCAAAAGCAAAATTTTATGAAGGATATAGATTAAATTGACGTGAATTTTTTGTTCTGGTTTTTAATCACCAACATATATTCGTGAATAAATTAGTTTTCTGCTGAAAAGAAAAAAAAATTGCTTAGTTGATGAAACGACTACAGAGTTCCGATCTTGTTGCAATGTTCGTACGAAAATCTGAATTATTTACCGGCCAAGATTTCCTATTGAATATGATCTGAATCCATCAACCTCTAAATATATATATATATCTTCTTCAGATTGTCTTGTTTCCGAGATGATTTTCTTTCTTTCTTACAACCAAAATCTGGATTCTTATTATTACCCTCAAAAACCAGGATCAACATCAGTCATAGTTAAACATTATTGTTTTCCAAAGAAGGTTTTGAACGATTTCCAAACAAAATAAGAAACAAATTCATAAGCTGAACCTATTTAAACATTACCAGAATCCACCAACTGCTCTGTTATATTAGCAGTTACTGTATTTCAAAAAACAAAATCTCGCTTTTTACATAGTACTTTTTTTGTCTCAAATACAAGTGCTAGCTACAAGACTACAACCAATGTGTGAAACACAAGTATTAAGAACAGAGAACATATGGAAAGAAGACAAAAACAACTAGCCTCTCAAATGTCAAAATTTCTTTTAAAAAAAATGCGCCTCTTTTTGAGTCTCAAATATTGAATCATAAGTACGGTTCCGTATTTGCTAGACTGAGAAACACTGCAAATAAGCTTCAGTTCATTGCCAACGAATACACTGCCGACAATTCGTTGATCTTCATTTGTATTTCTTCCAAATCCTCATTAGACTGTTTAAGAATCGCGACGTAGAGAACCATTTCTTCCTTCTTTTTCTCCTTAAAGAACAGGCTCGAAATGATTCGGAAAACAAACTCCAGGCTGCACATCATGCCAGTAAGCTGATCAAGATGTTCATAAGTGTCAATATCTTTCCACGGCCGTTTTCTCTTTTCGCGGAAGGCGTTGAATTTCGAGTTCTCCATGAGCCTCAAATGCCTTTTCAGTAGTGCAAGAATGCTGTCAAGAGAAATTTGAACCCTTCCATGCTTAACACTCTTTATCTTTTCAAGTATTGATTTGAATTCTCGGAACTCTACTTTTGCCGCTTTATTTTGCGGGGTCAAAATGAGAAGATAACGCACCACGGAGATGAGGTGAGTCTCGATCTCTTGCATCCATTCCATGGTCAATCTCAAAGCTTCCGTAATCTCATTCATTCCAAGAACAGTAAGATCCTGTTGTAACAAGTTTTCAAGTTTCTCCCTCCTTTTCCCGACACATTCAAACTCTTTTGTCACCATTTCTTGGCTCTTCTTTGACGCTTTGTCCACTGTTTCGCGCGGAATTCCATAGATGTAGAGCATGAAATCTATAAAACTCCATTCCAAATTGTAGATCGCTCGAATGTTGTCGAAAAACTCGTTCAGATTATCTGGGAAATCTTCCTCTTTAGACTGATGGCTGTCTTTCTTGGTTTCGAGGCAAAGAAGTTGCTCGAATCCGGAGTAAATCTTGCATAATTTCTGGTAATCATTAGCATCTCTTATAATGTCTTCTTCACTTTCATCAAAATGAAGAAGTTGTCGCTCAAGTTCCTTGAGACATTCCATGTCTGATTGATCTTCAAATTCCTAGAGTACTTTTCAAGAACAGTACAATGAGGAAACTTGCTTCCCGATTACCAAAGAAGTTTAAATCACTTTTCTCTTGCTTTCTTGAGAGAGAGAGAGAGAGAGAGAGAGCAAAAGGATTAGATTTTGATCAAGAAAAGAGACAAGGGAGCATAAGGATGAATTTCAATGGGAAATGAGGGCTTGTATCAACGGGCACAGGGAATTTTATTTTGTTCTGATGTTGTCGTTTTTTTATATTGTAGTCCTATGCTGTTGTCGTTTTTTTTATATTTGTAATCCTATGCTGTTGTCGTTTTCTGAGGAGGCCGTTGCTTATTTATCACAACGATGGTACTGATGTTTTAACTCTTGAGCACTTTGCCACTTTGTACCTTATTTCAACATGTTTTTTAAATTAAAAAAGGACTCATTTTACTCTTAAAGTATGTACCCTAATTTACAATGTCTCCTACATTTATAAAACTCACAAATTGATGACATGACATTACTTATATTTTCATAAATATCCCTCAAACTATTGATTTTAATTCAATTTGCTCCCTTAATCATTATTCTTATGTCAATTTGCCTTCTAACTTTTTAAAAGATCGGAGGGTAAGTTGACACAAATTCAATAATTCAATGAGTATTTATCGAAAACATTAGTTCATTGGGTGTTTTGAACTATTTTTCATATTTTAGAGTTGAAATAAACTTTTTTAAAATTCAGGAGACATGTTGAAACAAGGTACAACATCAGAAGGCGGTTATGAAATTAATCCTTTTCTTAATATATTGTGGTTTCTAGAAGACCGTGGTTTTCATAAATTTGGCTTTCTTTTTTTTTTTTTAAGACTTCTTTTCGGAATCTTATTAATTGTGATCATGTGTTAACAGTGCTATGCACTTTATGAACCATTTCAAAACAATTATTATTATTCATTTACCTTCTTAATTGACAGTTCTTCTTGCTTCAAATCCAATGTTATTTATTGCTATTTATTTTTGAAATATGATGCTTTGACCAAAATCAGAATATTATGAGGCCCAATCACACCTGGGATATAGGTCATCAGTGGAAATCCGGAAAAACAAACTGCTTTTTTTTTTTTTTTCAGTTCAGTACATCTAATGACGATTTTAAAAATATTGTTACATTTAATGACTCTCAATATGAGGCGGTTTCTTGACTGTCGTATCTGTTAACCATCGTCTAATTTTCCTATTAGTAGCAGTGAGAGGAGTAGTTGACACAACAAGGTAAATGTGACAGCAAAATCAAAATCAATAAGCTGATTTAGAGTCCGTTTGGTACTTAGATTCGTTCCCTGATTCGAATCATGATTCGTGGTTCGCTACAGTATTTTCTCTCATAAAAAATACACGTAAATCGAAAATAATTCTAATCACATAATTTGAATCCATGAACCAAACGCCACTCTCTTAGCTTTCTAGAGAGAAAGAGAGAGAAGTGCCACAAGGATGAGCTTTTTAAGACAAGGGAGTATATGGATTGTTGGAATTTCGATGGGAAATGTTGGATTACATGAAAGAGCGCAATGACGATTCTGTTTCTCCCCCTAATGTTGTCGTTTTCTTGAGATCCTATCGTTTTTATTCCCCATCGTGGTTTTTTTATGTATGGTGGTTTTTAAATTTCTGCTTTGGTTTACACAGCAAAAAAAAAAAAAAAAAAAAAAAAAAAAAAAAGAAACTATCAAATATCTACATGCTTCGAATCACATCAACTTTTGACTAATATCGTTTTCCTGTTGATACTGTTTTTTATAAGACTTCTTTTCAGAATGTTATTAATTTTTTGGTGTTTCACAGATATTTCGTTTTAGTGTGACCGAAAAATGTGATTCAACCCAAGGCTCCGTTTACTTCGTTGATTCGAGTTTAAAATTTGAGTTGAAATGTGACTTTATGTGAGAGCTTTTTACTGTAACAAAAAAGTTAGATGTGATTATTTGTGAGAGCTTTTTACTGTAAAAAAACTCAAATTTTAAACTCGAATTAGCGAAGTGAACGAGGCAGATTCAACCCTTTTTTTCTCCTAATAATATCTGAAAAGCTAAATCCACAAAATATCCACCCAGTATCCTATCAATCCATCTTAGCGCCCCATGTTAACCATAATCTCCAATTATATTAAAGCTTGCCAAAGAAGTATTTATTTATTCACAAAAAGCTATAGTCCTAGAATTGCATTCACAATGTTAGGAGGAAAATTGTTAAATTATTGTGAAGAGGAACTTTTAGAAAGTTGGCGCCAAATTGGAGGGAAGGGAAAAGCCATAATGTGTGTATTTTTTTTTTTTTTTTTGACGTTGGTTCATGAATTAGAATCATGTGATTAGAATCATTTTTTATTTACGTGTATTTTTTGTGAGAGAAAACACTGTAGCGAACTATGAATCATGATTCAAATCATGATTCAAATCATGATTTAAATCCTCCAACCAAACATAGTTATAAAAAATATAAATAAAAATTAAAAAAAGAAGAAGAAGAAGAAGATCTGGGACTCGCACTTTTTTCTAGGAATATTCAATCCAAGAAACAAATTTCCACCTGGGCGTGATTTCAAATTTGCTCATCCATTAAAAAAACCTAGCCACATCATGATCATCAAATTTGCATTGTTCATAAGAAGCAAAATTACAAGCTGAACCTAAACATTCACAAAATCCACAAATTGCCCTCCTCTTATCACTTCATTCTTTGGGCTGAACCTAAACATTCACAATATTCTATCTCAGATTTACAGTCTCAAGTTCTTAATTGGAAGGTTTGACCCCCGGACAACATCGCGGAATTCCTCTATCACTTCAAGAATGTATCAACTCCATATGTTCCAATATGAATAATCTTCTTTTTTACTATATCAAAATGCTTTTCAAACTGCTGGACAAAGTCGAGAACCAAATCTCATTTTTCCTTGTTGAGCTTGAGCATTACCATTTACAGAGTAATCCTATATAGGTTCCTACCGATGACTAGTGAGTGCTAAGTATTAGCTTCACCTGTGCTTTTTTTTTTTTTTCCTTTTTTGGTCTGTCTTCGCTTGTCCAGGTGATCAAGTAGCAACTGCTATGCCAGAGTTCCGACAAAAACCACTTCTCTGCTCGAATTTTAGAATGCAGAATTTCAACCAGTCAAACTCCAAAACACTTGCTAATTCCGAATCGATATTTCCAGTGACCAACAAGACATTAAACTTACAAGTATTGGTCTATAAACAAGATTCCTGCTATTGGGTAATCATAAAAGTATGCCGGGACATGGCTAGAACTAGTCCTTTGAAAATTTTCTTTCAAGTGTATGTGAAACCATAGTACTACTGCACTACTACCAATAATCCCCACAAGAACAAATGCCATTCCTGAAGTGATGAAATCGGCTTGAATCTCTTAAAACGATCTCACGCCCAACAATCTTCGCAATAAGCTTGATGGCAGAGTGACAATCCCCGCATACACGAAGGTTTTTCATCACTGTTATTGTACTCCCCTCTGCAGTACTAACCAAAGCAAATACAATAGCAAGCCTCTCGCTGTGGGAAGACAACATCTCTTCCTTTTGTTCGGCCTCAACATCGTGCAGAGCAAATTGTTGGTCTGGAACATAACCAAATTCCTTCAACTTAACTCCCAGCCAGTCCAACTTTTGATAGATTTTCTCACTCAGTGGGTGGGACCTATCTCCAGAACGAAATTCATGCCTCAATCCCTTCAGAGTGACCCAACTAGAACCTGGTTGTTTTACAATGCCATTTCGTTTCATTGTCTCGCGTACTCTTGAGACGTCACTCCATCTATTTGCAGAAGCATATATGTTAGATAACAACACATAAGCGGCACTACAATGCGGGTCTAGTTCAAAGACGCTTTTTGCAGCTCTTTCAGCAACATCCAAATTAGAATGCAACCTACAAGCGCCAAGTAACGCTAGCCATACCATGGAATTCGCTTCAAAAGGCATGTTTCTAACTAACTCCTCCGCTTCTTCCAACTTCCCACATCGGCCTAAGAGATCAACCATACACGCATAGTGTTCTTGATTTACCTCAAAAGTTTTATCTTGACTAAAAAATTTGGAAAACCCTCTTCTTTTCTGTAGCATCCCAGAATGTCTACATGCAGATAGCAATCCAGTGAATGTGATTTCATCTGGCTCTATCCCCGCACGCATCATTTGGCTGAAGAGTGTCAAAGCCAACATCCCATAACCATGTTGTGCACATCCCATAATAACTGAGTTCCAGGAAACAATGTTCTTCTCATTAGTCCTAGTAAAAACAGAAATCCCATGATTTATACTGCCACATTTACTATACATGACAATGAGAGTGTTTCCAACAAATGAATCATTTCCCATACCTAGTTTTATAGCTACCGAATGTATCTCCTTGCCCCTATCAAGAGCCTCTAATCCACAACAAGCATTCAAAGCACTGGTAAAAGAAGACTGATTAGGAAGGACGCCCGATGCTATCATGTCCCTGAAAACCTCTAACGCCTTTTCAGGCTCGCAATTCAAGGCATACCCTGTCACGAGAGCTGTCCACACTGCCACATTTTTGTGCATTTTCTCTTTGAAAACCTTACAAGCATGCTCTACTTGCTTGCAGTTTGCATAAAAGGTAATAAGTGAAGCATATGAAAACTCGTCAAAGCAATAGCCTAACTTGACTATCTGACCATGAATTTTAAGACCTAAATGTAAAGCAAATATATTAGCAGAAGCAGTCAACGCACATACCAATGTCGTTGAAGTGGGCTTGAAACCAGAACCCGTCATCCTGTTGAAAAATAGCAAAGCTTCATCGCTCTTCCCATTCTGATCAAGCCCACCAATCATCGACGTCCAGGAAATCACGTTGCGGTGAGGCATTACCTCAAACAAATCAATAGCACTCCCCACTCTACCATTGCTAAAATAGCCATGAATCATCGAATTCCAAGTGGCTATGTCCCTCGTGGGCATCTTATGAAACAAGCGCTCAGCCATCTCAACTTCCCCAAACCGCATGAACCCATGTATCATTGTCGTCCAAGAAACAACATTCCTCTCGGGCATTTCATCAAAAATCTTCTTAGCCTTACTAAGTTCCCCACAATCCAAACACCCTTTCATCATTGAATTCCAAGAAACCGTATCTCTATCTCTAACGGGTATTTCATCGAACAATTTCAAGGCGTCATCCAACCGACGATTCTTCACATAACCCATTGTCATAATCGTGTATAAATTAACACCGGGACAAGGAATACCATCAAAAACTGCTCGAGCTTCATCTACTCTTTGGTTCTGCAAGTGATCAGAAAGCAAAGACTTGTAATAAGAAGAACTCAGTTTGGTGTTATAAGAAGAACTCAGTTTGGTGTAATTCATCAAACCCAAAAAGCGTCCCAAGGATTTTACAAGAGCCATAGAGGAATCAGAAAGCGGAGATCAGGACCCCAATTAGAACAAAAATGACTCCTGTGAAATTCGAAAAGAACGAAAATTGGCGCGAAATTGAACCATCACTTCTCTCTCCTCTCTAACGATCAATAGACGGTCACTACGAAGATACCAACAACATAAAAGGCACCGTTTAGAAGTCCAACTTTAAACGCACCGTTTTAATGCGGGCCCACAAGGACTCGCCAAGTGAAATTTGATTGAATGTTTTTTAGCCTTATTTGGTTCGATTTGATTCGAAATTTGTTGATTTGAACATTTTTATTTGAACAGAAAATTTAAACTGTGTAGTTTAAATTATAATTTAAATTGGCATTTAGATGTACATTTAAAATTTTAATCTGAACAGGTAATAAAATTTAAATTTGTGTTTGGTAAGTGTGAAAGTAGAGAGTTGACACCTTTTTATTATTTAAAAATGATTTGAACGGTTGAATTTAAGGAGAGTTAAACACTAAGTTTGACAATTTAACTCAATTCAAATGGAAAATGTAATTTGAATTGCATGCTTACTAGACATGAATTTAAACTGTGCTCAATGTTCGAACTGAGTTGATTGAAATAAACCAGCAAAACAAACAAATTACTTTTTTTTTTAACGGAAGCACAAAAGCTGAACAATGAATATAATAAGAAAGAAGAATGTAGCAAAGGGAAAGAAAAGACTTGGAAATGTGAGGCAAGTAAGAATCTAGCATTTTATGTTGGCTTGCCTTGATTATGAAGAATCCTCTTTCTTTACAACCTCAAAGAACCCTTTAAAATTTCAGCAGCCTTAGCAAGAAAAGAACCAAAAACCTTATCCCAAAGACAACCCCAGTTTATTATAAGAACCCCCCATCCAAGCACAAAACACTTACTACAAAAACCTTTTTTTTTCCTTCTCTTCCGAAACAATTTGCACTACTTTCTTGGGATGCTATAAAACTTTGCTTCTTCTTCTTTTTTTTCCCCCACATTATAATAAGACCATTCAATTCTGTTTAATCAAATGGCCAACACCCAGTTGAAATCTGTTGCCACACTACTTTTGCTGCTCAATTTTTGCATGTATGTCATTGTGCTAGGCATTGGCGGTTGGGCCATCAACAGAGCAATTGATCATGGCTTCGAGATCGGTATCTCTCTCTCTCTCTCTCTCTCTCTCTCTCTCTCTCTCTATATATATATATATATTTCATTATGTTATATATGGACGTGAGAAATTTTACAATGTTAGCAACTCAATATGTTGGATTTCAATTTTTTACAAGTTGGTTTTCGATTTATACATGCTAAGTGATGAGAGTTCGTGCAGGTGCTGGTTTGCAACTTCCGGCTCATTTCTCGCCTATATATTTTCCGATGGGAAATGCGGCGACCGGGTTCTTTGTGATGTTCGCTTTGATTGCTGGAGTTGTTGGAGCTGCCTCGGCTATCTCCGGGGCCAACCACATTCGTTCGTGGACCGCCGATAGCTTGCCTGCTGCAGCCACAGCTGCCACCATTGCCTGGACCCTCACCCTCCTTGCCATGGGGTAATAGCCAAAATCAGTTTTATTTCTTTTAAACTCCTAGGGAAAAATCACTGGTGGGTCTCAAATTTCGGGAAGTTATAGATACATATTTAAGTATTATTGTATTAACCAACGCGTGTAATTCATGCAGCTTTGCTTGCAAAGAGATTGATAGGAATGCCCGTTTGGTAAGAACCAACAGAAAAAAAACAAACCATATTTATATATTTTACATCATTATATTGGAAAGTGTACTTAGAAAAACAATGGAAAATTGACATACCTTTTCTCTGTTTTTGTAGAGAACAATGGAGGCATTCTTAATCATCCTTTCAGCTACACAGCTTATATATATTGCAGCCATTCATAGCGCTGTATCAAGGAGATGAACTTTTGAGAGTTGAGTGACTTGGAAGTTTGTGTGCTAGAGCTTCTTCTTCTTCTTTTTCTTTTCTTTTTTTTTTTTTTTTTCCTTTTCTCTGTGTTTCATTTTACCCCTTTATCTTGTAAAAGCCTTGCCAAGGGAATTGGCACTTTATTGTGTGATTTGGTGTGAGATAATTGGATTGATTTACTATAAACAAATAAAACTATTGTGAGATATAGTGAATTATTTGTGCACCTTGAATTGAAACATTTTAAACATCTTTTATTAACATGACCATCTAAATGGGAAAGCCTCGGTTTTTCTTTTAAATATAAATACATACATATATATATATATATATATATATATATATATTGGGGGTGGGAAGATTCTAACTCTAAACCTCAATATTGGAGGCAGTGGCGTTGATTTATCGCCATGCTTGCAACCACGGAAAACCTTGGTTTTGAAAACAAATATGTACACGTACCTATATGTGTGTGTGTGTCTATATATATATGTATGTATGTATGTATGTATATGTATGTATGCTACGCTTTTTATAAAAAGAAATAACAAAGAAAAGGTAAGAAGAAAATGGAAAGCATCCATCATTCAAGAGAGGTATAAACACCAGATCATGCAAGTAATTAATAAAGATTGAAAATGATTGTAATATTCTAAAACGACTCCATTGTCCCACAACTGCCCAAGGGGGAAAAAATACAGCACAAACAAACTACACTGCAAAAAATTCACATGTAAATGTTTAAAAAGCTAGCGACACTATAACCACAACAAACCTTATACTGTTTATCAACTAGAGCCTCTTGCCCATTATTCTTTGTGAAAAAAACTTTACTGAGTACTAATTTTCAAAAATCACAAGGTGCTCGGAACGGAACCGGATCCTTCCTCGCCTTCACAAGCTTCATCCATCCACTCAACTGAATTCTCTTTGGCTTCTGTACCTGGATAGTCCAACCAAATTTAGGTTCCAATTTTCTTAAAATTTTGAGCAAATTTAATCCGAAGCATGATAAGATTAGATCACAAAATTTTTCTTCTTTCCAGGCAATGAAATTGTCTGACATAATAATGCAAAATTAGAAATACGTAATGTGAAACCATGTGGATGTAGTTTAGCAGTGAGAATTTCAAGTTGCCGTCGTACACTGGCCAAAAAAATAATCGATGCAGAAATTAACAAATTCCTTATGTCATGCAGATCATGAAACTATTCGGTCAAAAAATCATTTAGTTTAAATCAGAACAAACTTCAAAGAAAAACTCAACATGATGAGGGGAACCATGTGCCAACAGCAATTCAGGATTCAATCAGAACAAATCCAGCCTCAAGAAATCCAACATAAAAGCCGTTAAAATGAAAAAAAGTGTAAGGACTTTGACCGAAATATTAAAATGGAAGAGAAGTTCACCAATGATTGGATGCATATATGTGCGAATGGATCTACATGAGCGCGCAAGCATGTATACAGGATGGCATACCATATTTGGCTACGAGAAAGGATATGGCGGTACGCTGCACAAAAGTTTTTCTAATTTGTATTTCAACGACTAATAAGTAGATGGAAATAACTCATCAGAAAGATATTTGTATACGCTCTACGCTCGCAAGTCAAAGAAATCAATTAAATGTACAAAGGAATTGCTTCACAGAGCCTTCTCCTCAATTTTCTAATTTTCTACAAGCGCAACTTTTCAGTTTAGTACCACTGGTCTCTCTCTTAGAAATGCCTCAAAATCCACCCTTACCCTGATCTTTTGAACCCAGAACCATTTCCTAATCCTCTCATCCATGATACATTATATATTCTTCAAGATCTATAACTTTTCAGTATTGGAAAATAATTTTACTTCACCGATCCAAATGCTACTCCAGAATTGAGTAACAAAGCAGGTGAGAAACCATTTGTCTATTGGATAATCCAGTATAGGGTAAGGTTGAAAATACCTCGTTGGAAAAGAACAAAGTTTAGAATTTCCTGGGACTTAATTGATAGGCCGAACTAATAATATGTCCTAATAAATTCCCCGATTTAGTAATTTAACAAGACAGCTCGGCATCATAAAATGTCAAACAAAACAGAATACAATGAAACGTTAGGTTACAGTCTCAACCTGATCTTATCTACTGGATCCAGATAGCAAATCCAAAATTCCACAGCAACTCAACCAGGAGGTTCGTTGCACTGGGTGTAAAGCTGGGGCTGGAGCGACCAGAGGCTGCAAATAATTCAGGAAAGACGTTGCATTTAATTGTAAAAGTTAATGACTAAAAAGTTAAAACCATGTAAAACTCAACTTTGCAATGAGGAAAGGAACAGACAAAATACCTCTTTCTCAGAATTTTTGTTGTATTCAGTGCCAGTAGTAGTTTCAGCAACACGAGCATCTTGTGATGGTGGCAATTCTTTGTCCTCATCAACTTTCAGGTCACTTTCCAATTCACTGGGGGACGGCTTTGTATACTGATCCAATAAGGAAAATATCTTGTCCTCATATTTCTCCGGAGAAAAACTGGTAACTGTTTCTGAAACCTTGTTAGCCAATTTCTCTCTACCAGTGTCCAACTTAACCACCTCAGAAACCAACGAATTATCAACTATAGCATTTTCTACGACACTCAATGTCTCCTCCAATACTGGAACCACTGGCGTAACTGATTCGATGATGGAGGACACTTTCTCAACTAAATTAGCATCCCCAGAAGATTCGCTCTTGGTAATCTTAGTTGCTTCAGATTTATTCTCTTTCTTCTCAACAGCTTGAGACTCATCATCCGAGCTAGAACTACTGCTGCTACTAGAGCTTTTATCATCCCCATCATTCGATATCTTTGAAAACTCAAAGCCTTCAATACTAATGCTTCTCTCAGAATCCCCCTCAGATTTCGAACCCCCCCTCTCGACCTTAGCGACATCATCACCATCCTGACCTCCTAGTTTCCCTTCCTCCTCCACAACACCACTAGGAACTTTCTCCATGGACTTATTATCCTCGACGACAACAGAGCGAGCAGCTGATGGGTGTCTCACCTCATTTCCCTCATTAAAAGGATTGTCATTATTGTTATGGTGGTCCTCATGTGCAGGGGAACTGACCTCACCCCCATCACTTCCCTTCTCATCTTGGGATTTGGCATCATCATGCTCTGGCATAATTCATAATTCAATTCAATTTCAAAAAGAAATTCCAATCAAAATCAAGCAGAGAAAGGGACATTAAGGGACACCCATTAACCCAATTCGATCATAAATAAAGTTTTTTTCCCATAATGGAGTACGAATTGACAGATGGGTCGGTTGATTCAATCACATGTTCTTCATCACTTTAAAGCAAAAGGAGAGACAACCAACAGCTGCCCACCAACCCAAAATTGATAACGAAAAAAGGAACAAAAAACCAACATTGAAAAAGGAAAAAAAAATGATTGACTGCCAGATGGATAAGCTGCAAGATTATTCATTTACCGTAAATTTAGATCAAACAAAAGCCATACCCAATTAACCCAAATCAACAAAAATTAAAAGAAAACTTCAAAAATATATATACACAAATATAAAGATATTAAAAATCAATATAAATTTAAGTATCCAAATAGTGACAAGAGAAATTATTACCTTGAGGGTTGTTAGAAGGATTGCCATTGTTGTTGGCTTCCAATTCCTTCTTTTTCTTGGCAGCCTTTCGCTTCTTAGCACCTGATGGCATGATTATTGGCGCTTATGGGCTGATTGAAAAAAGAAAATTAAAAAATAAAGGACAAAAACAAGTGGGTTTCTCTCAGATCGTGGGGTTCTCTTCTCCCTCCTCTCGTATGGACCCTGCAACACTTTCTCTCTCCTCTCTCTAACTTTTTACACGCCGTGTCCGAAGCTAATTTTGAAATGGGTATCTTCGAAAAAAAGGAAAAGGAAAAAAGAAAAAAAGGAAAAAGAAAAAAGAAAAAAACGAAATTGGTACAGGTAATAAGAGATGAGGACCTATCGGGATTTTCGGGAAAAATAAAATTTTGTGGAAACGAGTGTTCATTGCTCTCAGCCTCTATGTGCTTTGAAGTGTTTGATGGGCGTATTTTATTGGGTGAAGAAAATAATTAAAAAAGAATAATTAAAAAACCACAGTTTTCAGAGAAATATAAATATTTTTTTATAAATGTTGGTTCATTTTTTGTTGAAAGGGATTTTTTTTGTCTGGGTTTTTAGGGAGTTTTGGAACTTTCATGAATGAGTGGGAAAACTTTCAAAATATTGGCCTCTTTGGGCATGGGTGTGGGACATTAGGGAATTTATTGTGGCTGAAATAATATTTTTGTGTGGTGTGTATTATTTATCAAGAAAAGGAAAAGGTTGATTGTTTGAATTTCGAATTAAAAAGAAAGGAAAAAAAAAGTTGTGTTGAATGTTTTTTTTTTTTAAATTTTTTCCTTTCTTTTGTAGAATTATTTTTTCCTTTTTTTAGTAAATGATTTTCTACCTGTATTTGTAATAATTTTTGTGGTTAATGCATTGGAACAAATGGTGAGAAAAGTCTATTTTACGGCCCTTAAAATTCAATGTTCAAATTCTTGACAATTTTTTTTCCATAAATAAAAAGATACCCCGCCTTCATGGTTCCTTATATGAATTTGATATGATCTTTAGTTTTGAACTGGGATTGAATAAATGTTCAATGTTCATTTTTAGTTTCAAAACGTATTAAGATTTTTTGTTAAGGAAAAATGAAAAGAAAGATTTGGTGACCATATAAACGAAAAGGTTGGCTTATTCCATATTCCATATTTATCTTTATTTGCTAAGTCAAGCATATCAATTTACCTTTCAATCTAAAAAACATATTAACTTTTCTTCTCTGATGCATGATTTCCTCTCTAACCCATTACCCTTAAAATTAAAATAAAATGGAAAAGAGAATTCGACACTTACCAAGTTAGACCTATTCTTTTTAGGGATAGCAATGGAGAGGATTTGGGGCGGGGTAGTCTTCTCACCAACTCGCCCCGCGAACAAAACAAAAGCACTTATTATATTCGTCTCAGGAATCCGTAAAAATTGACGAGTTACATGACGGATTTTACCATCACATATTCATAATATTTATAATGCCCCATTTATCCGATTAGTTATTTTCATTGTAAAAATAATTAATTAATTAAACAATACAAACATATAAAACATTGAGTTAAAAAAAGGGTAGTTTAAAATTTTTATACATATTATGTAATAGATTATACTTAAAATTATATATAATAGTATATTATACATAAAATATCTAATTTAAAAATAGAGTATAATTAAACGAGACTGGTAAACGATAGAATCGGAGACCTCTAAATCCATTTCCACCCCACAACTTGTGACGAGTTAAAATTTTAATCCGTTCACAATCCGGATAAATTTAAAACGGATTTTCCCCGTCTAGTTTAATATACCCTACATGTAAATGAGTTAATGGATAAAATTGTCATCTCTAATTCTTTCTCTCTAGTTCATAAGAGAGAGATTTATGACCCGTTTGCTTCAAGAGTGGAATCCATATGGTTTGAACTATAATTTAAATTTTTATAAGATAACATACAGTAATAAAACTATTTGAACTGGAATTTAAACCTTGTTACTAAACATGCCATTATTTGCCATTCTTTGCAACCATACATACCGAAAAGAGAAACAAAAATATTTTCATATGATAGTTAGCATTGAAACATATTTTGTGAGGAAACCAAGGACTGTTACGTTCGGTCCATAGATTAAGAATATAAAAAGATACCCCGCCTTCATGGTTCCTTATATGAATTTGATATGATCTTTAGTTTTGAACTGGGATTGAATAAATGTTCAATGTTCATTTTTAGTTTCAAAACGTATTAAGATTTTTTGTTAAGGAAAAATGAAAAGAAAGATTTGGTGACCATATAAACGAAAAGGTTGGCTTATTCCATATTCCATATTTATCTTTATTTGCTAAGTTAAGCATATCAATTTACCTTTCAATCTAAAAAACATATTAACTTTTCTTCTCTGATGCATGATTTCCTCTCTAACCCATTACCCTTCAAATTAAAATAAAATGGAAAAGAGAATTCGACACTTATCAAGTTAGACCTATTCTTTTTAGGGATAGCAATGGAGAGGATTTGGGGCCGGGTGGTCTTCTCACCAACTCGTCCCGCGAACAAAAGCACTTATTATATTCGTCTCAAGAATCCGCAAAAATTGACGAGTTACATGACGGATTTTACCATCACATATTCATAATATTTATAATGCCCCATTTATCCGATTAGTTATTTTCATTGTAAAAAATAAATAATTAATTAAACAATACAAACATATAAAATATTGAGTTAAAAAAAGGGTAGTTTAAAATTTTTATACATATTATGTAATAGATTATACTTAAAATTATATATAATAGTATATTATACATAAAATATCTAATTTAAAAATAGAGTATAATTAAACGGGACTAGTAAACGATAGAATCGAAGACCTCTAAATCCATTTCCACCCCACAACTTGTGACGAGTTAAAATTTTAATCCGTTCACAATCCGGATCAATTTAAAACGGATTTTCCCCGTCTAGTTTAATATACCCTACATGTAAATGAGTTAATGGATAAAATTGTCATCTCTAATTCTTTCTCTCTAGTTCATAAGAGAGAGATTTATGACCCGTTTGCTTCAAGAGTGGAATCCATATGGTTTGAACTATATTTTAAATTTTTATAAGATAACATACCGTAATAAAACTATTTGAACCGGAATTTAAACCTTGTTACTAAACATGCCATTAGTTGCCATTCTTTGCAACCATACATACCGAAAAGAGAAACAAAAATATTTTCATATGATAGTTAGCATTGAAACATATTTTGTGAGGAAACCAAGGACTGTTACGTTCGGTCCATAGATTTAGAATTATGATTCATAATCATTCTTGTTTTACGTGTGTTTTTTATAAGAGAAAAATACTATAAAGAAACATAAATCATGATTCAGAATTAATAATAAATATATGAAACAAACGTCTACCGTTGGGATTTTATCAAATTTTGTTAAATTTTTGTGTTTCTGGCATAATTTTAATGTAATTTCATTATTTAGAACTATATTCTGTGCTCAAAGTTCTATTAAAGATTATACAAAACACACACACACACACACATATAGGCCTCGTTCATTTCACCGATTCGAGTTTTCAGTTTTAGGTTTCTACAGTAAAAAGCTCTCAGAAAATATCACATTAACTTTTTCTGCTACAGTAAAAAGCTCTCAGAAAGTGTCACATCTCAGCTCAAATTGAAAACTCGAATCCACGAAGTGAACGAGGCAATAGTCTTAAGTCTAGTGATTGTACGGTCTGACAGGTGCAACTTTTTTTGTAATGATGTGTAATTTTTTAGTGTGATATAGTACCATTAAAATAAATTTAATATAACTTGGTGTCAAATTATATTTTATTTATTGTTATATGAGTGTACAAATAATGTTATAATGATAAACAAAAAAATGTTACATTTATTACACTCCTAGTCACACTAACAAAATTATATACTTTAAACCTATATATAAAAGAGAATGAGTTTTTTTTTTTATCGTTTCATGTTTCGTTGCTCTTTTTTGGTAAGGGGAAATTTCATTTATTAGTATAAATGAATTACAAACTCAACATAAAGCCGTACATAACTCTAAATACAATGAAATTTGACCCAAATGATTGGATCCACTTGTAAAAACAACAATAACATAAGAACAAATACGATGCCACTATCCAGAAGATAAAAAGCCTGATCGGCACTAAAAATCAAGCATGGCTAAAGCTTATTAAAAAGAATTAAACAGTTGATGGAGTAACTCAGTCGACCTATACAAACCTTAATTCACAGGGACATAAGTAACATGGCCTAGAGAAATCTCTAGCTAGACATCAACACACACTATCGAGAAACACCTCAAATAGATGAGACACATAAACTAAATCAGAAAGTAGAGAAACTACCTCTGTTATTATAAAATAAAACACATAACCCACACTAATAAGCGGGTGATAGACACAAAACTATGCAGAGGACACACCCACCATTATTACAACTATACAATTAAAAAAAATCCACCCGCGCTAAACCGTCTGCCGAAGTACGGAAGTTAGATTTGAACATAGCCACCATACAGGGAAAGTACAACCGGGAGGAGATGAATTTTGTGCGCGTCTTATTGTGTCGTTCGTTCCCCTTCTTTGTTGAGGTGCATTGATTTCTTTTCGTTATAACGTTCCTCAGATGAACTTTTTGCCAGCTTTTATGATTAATCGCATAAGCAAGCATTAATTTTCAAGAGAAATGCTAGGGTCGTTTCTTTAGTCACACTTTTTTCCACTGATTTTATTCTCCTTTTGCCACATGACATCCCACTTTTCGTGAAAAAAAAGAAGCAAAACCATAAGTCATTGTTTTTCCTCTTATTACAACCCTGTCACTCCACTCTTTTATATTAGTAAAAAGAGATGTTGAAGGTTATTTTTATAATTTATTACGAAATTATTTATTTTTCAAATATTACAAGATTACTATTAAAAGAAGAAAGACTTTTGAAAGAAATAAAAAAGGAAACATTTATATACATACATAAACAGTTACCCTTTGAAAACGTATACATCATAAGAAAACAATTGTTACACTTATATTATATACGGTTTAAAAGTGTTACATGTATAAGCGAATGATGTAGTAATCTATAAGTTCTTAAAGAAAATTTTACAAAATTATTTGATTAAAACAAAAGAAAACGAACTTATATATTCCCCTTAAAAAAAGAAAACAACATACTTATAAAATAATAAAAGATTAAGTAAGGAATAAATTATTACAATTTTGTAATCTTAAAGAAAGTGTCAGAGTTGTAATAAAAGATAAAAGAATGGTTTATTGTTATGTTTCTTATTTCTTAGAAAGTGTAATGCCATGTAGCATGAAGAGAATAAAGAAAGTGAGAAAAAAAAAGTTATTAATTCGAGTTGAAATGTGACTTTATGTGAGAATTTTTTATTGTAATAAAAAAATTAAATATGACTATTTTTGAAAATTTTTTACTCTAATAAAACTCAAGTAACTCTAACGTTTCTCATTTTTCAAAGGAAACGGTTGCCTTCAATTAGTTTGTTAAATGAGTTGATTTTTTTTTTCTAGGGAAATTTTTATTTTTTAAATACATTAAAAGAAATTTGTACCCACATGGCCAAGAACCATAAGTAAGGTCCAATATTCCCTTAAAAAAAAAAAAGTAAGGTCCAATATTGTAAATTATAAAATGATACATAGAATTTAAGCATAAAATTATCTCTTAATTATCCTCCTATTATTTTGAAAGACTAACTTGTGGTCAACCTATTTGTAAATTCCTCATATTGCTCCTAAACTCTCCATTCAATTTATATTACTTTAAATTTTTATTTAGCCTATATAATATATTTATACAAATATATATATATATATATCTATATTTTTACTACATACTGTTCTCTCTTAATATCTCGTTTTTGTCTGTTCTTTTTTTTTTTTTTTTTTTTTTTTTTTTTTTTTTTTAAACAATTCGTATAACTCTTATTTTAAAATGAGTTATGGGTGCAGTTTTGAGTAGTTATATATATGCGCTTAGGAATGTAAAGGAAATGAACAATTGTACTGCACAACAAAATAATACTCTGTGATCTATCTCATATCTCAATCGTAAAATAAAAAGGTATGTACTTTTAAGTTTAACATCTGGCGTTATAACATCTGCCGATATGATATTTGCCACAACCAACTGAAAAAGTGTTTTTCTATAGTTCTCGTGTGAGGCTTTACAACCACAAGAGATAAGTGGTCGGAATCTATTCAATGTGGATTTATTTGACAATGTAATAGCAATCTTGGACCTAATTTTAAGATTATTGAGCATTAATGGAATCGTGAAGTGGTTAGATCAGTAATCATTTACATATTTCAAGCTTTGCATTTTTTATTAAAGCTAATCTCTTCATGTCGGCTAAATATATAGAACATCTATTGTTGCATTTGCATCACATTAGAAGCGACACGTATTTTGACTCCATAAATTCAACTATGTATAAATCTTAAAAAATTATATAGTAGGCTACGGTAAGAAGACGTTACTAGTAAGACACTATTATAAATGATCATATAATTTCAATATCATATTAAAATAAAGAAAAAGAGTATGAAATTTTGCGGAACTTAATTAATAAAAATCCGGCGGTTTAGAATTGTATCACCCGTTAGGATTTTTTAATATCCTATCATAGAATTTTGATCAATATTGAAAAATATTTCTTTTTTTTTTTTGCTCAATATATATACAGTATACATTTGTAGATTTTTTTTTTTGGGCAAAATATTTTGATTGACTTTGAAAAATATGATAGGTCTAAAAATACAGTATACGTATGTAGCTTCCCCACCCCGTACATTATTGAATTTCCAACTTCATTTATTTATTTTGAAGGTGACATTTCTTACCCAATCTATAGAAATTTCGTACTTTCCGGTGAAAAAAAAAAAAAACCTTGGAAAGCTGTGAGGTAAGAAAAGTGTTACATTGATGATCATCGAACAAAGTGTTAAATGTCATTAAATAAATGTACTTGACACCACTACAATTTTGTCTCATGACCATAAATTTCAGCATTAGATGCTTTGAAACGGTTGTTCTCATGGTTATAATTAGGGTTATTGACGGAAATAGTTCTCAATCTATTTTTATTTAATAAGTGACAATTTAATCTCTAATTTTTTTTATTTAATAAATTGATCTTTAATTTTTTAAAACATGCGTAATCTAGTTATTTGCGTGAAGATCCGTTTAAAAGCTATCGTGGCTCCTTATATTAGCTTGAATGGGCCTAAAATATTGGACGGTCCTCTCAAGGCTTAAGCCCATAACCACTAAAGGGGAAGGCAATCGACTAGCAAAAAACAGTCGTCACATAATAAGAGCCAAACAAAGCTGTAAATAGTAATTAGTAAAATCCGAATGTGTAAGAGCGACTATTTGCTGACTATCTTCATCTTCATCTTCTAGTTCTTCGCTTTCAGATCCCAACACAACAAAAGTAAAGGCTCTTCGTCTCTGTGTCGCCTTTCGGACGATCCGACGTCGTTTCGCCTCTGTTGCTCTGGAAGATTCCAGAGCTTGAAGAAGAAGAACAGCCATGGACGCTCTGCGGAAACAAGCCAGCAAGCTCAGAGAACAGGTCGCCAAGCAACAGCAGGTGAATTCGGTCTCTCAATTTTCCTAATTTCGACTTTTCTGCTTCCCGAGAAAATGTTAGCTATTTGATGATCCGAGGCTTTGCGTATATTTTCTTTTGTTCTGAAAAATGAATGAAGGATTAGTAGGTTATTTCTTTGCTACTTGGTGTTTCCGATCTGTATTTTCTCCTTTTTGTTCTGTAAATTTAGTCGTTTCCCGAGAATATGTCGGAAAAGAGGATGAAACTTTGAATTTGACTGAAATCGATTGAAATAGGCTCAGTTTATTGTGTTTTGATTGACCTTATTTGATGCGGCCAAGATCGCATCTTGATGTATATGAACATTTCAAATTTAGTTTGTCGTTTCTCTGGAAAATGGAGAAAATTTGAGGCGAACATTGTGTGGTAGTGCATTTGTAGAGTTATGGAATTATTACTAGTATCTATTAGGCACAGTATTCCATAGAATTGGTAAAGTTTGTCCATTGAGGTTCATAGAGGTAATTCTTGTGATCTTGTTCCATTGACCCCAGTCACTAGTAAGTAATGTTTGGGAACATCCCAGGCATAATTTCTGATAAGGAAATTCTCTAATATTCCTTTTACAACGTTGACATATGTTGTCATCTCGACTAGGGACCTGAGGTTGGGCTTTGAGTTCTCGATCCCAATCTTGAGCATAAAATCTTTGTGTCATGGCATATTAAATGGCTTTCTTTGACCCCAAACATCATGGTGCTGAGGGTTTCCGCTTCGATGTATACACATTCCAGTGTAACATCGAGGGTTGCCTTAATTTTCAGTCCAGTCACATTGACGTTATAAGACCTTTGGTTTATCGAGCTCCGGCCTTGACTGGTGTACGTTTCCGGCCTTGAGGGGGAGTGGGGACGTAGGTCTAGTGATTTGAGCCCTCGGGGAAATCCCTCAACACAACTTGACATTACATTATCTTTCTTTACGTGCATGAATTTTTCCTATGCCAATGTGTATTTGTAGTTTGTTTTTTAAAAAGAAAATTTTTTCTGACCTGCCTATGCTCTTTTTATTTTTATTTTCAGGCAGTAATAAAGCAGTTTAGTGGAACTGGTTATGAAAGCTCAGATGTAATGGTAATAGATGAGATTGAGATGCAGAGACATCAACAACTAGAGAAACTTTACAGAACCACTCGTGGAGGAAAGGTACCATATGGGTTTTGCTTTTTTATTAATGGCAGACTTTTTAATTTACGGTATTGATTTTTAAATTGTTGAATGCATTTCAGTCAGTTCCATTTTATTTTGTACCCCATTTCTATCCAAAATCCAATGCCTGTTGAATACGTTTTCATGAATGCTCTTTTCTTGTTTTCCAGGACTTTCAGAAAGAAATTGTCAGAGCCGCAGAATCATTTGTGGCCATAGGATACAAGCATGTTGAAACAGGTAGAAACTCTTTCAATCATTAACTATTGCATATATCTTGGTTTTGCTAATATTATTCTTCTCTTTTGCAAATAAAACTTATTTAATGTGCCTTAGTTCTTTCACTTCTTTATTTATTATCATTATTTTATAATCTTTGTCGTAGTCAGGAACCAAACTGTCCGAGGACTGTTGCAAATATGGAGCTGAAAACATCGACGATAACATACTAGCAAAAGCTGCTTCAATATATGGTGACGCTCGCAAGCATGTAGAAAAAGAACAAGAAGAATATAACAAGCTGCTCTCTTCACAGGTTCATTTTCATATCCAATTATATTGTCATAGAAACACTTTTATGTTTACTTATTGGTTGATCATAATTTTTGTCATACATAAATTGTCTAGTTATGCCCAAATAAGAAAGAATTTTATGGTGTCCTTTGATAAATAGTTAGTGTACCTTGCTTCTTGATTACTGTTTAGTGCTTTTTTATGTGTAAAATTTTGATGCTATTCATTACTTTTTAGTTCTTTTTTAATCTGTGAAACTTTGATGCCAAAATTGTTTCAGTTGACTCTGAGCTTTTTGTACAAGTCAGATAGAATTTTGGCTGCTTTCAGCTTTTGTTCTTTGCTGTATGACATTGTAGGTTTCAGGGCAGAAAAGAAAGTATATTTCATTGATTAATTCCTATACAAGGATTACAATATTTATAGGAAAACAATCCTATGGGAATGGGAAAGTATATCCCACAGAAAAATGTAACTAAATCCCTTGATTGAGTGAGATCCTTATCTCAAGGAATCTCTTTAAAAATTGAAAAAATAAACTACTTTCTTAATTTATCTCTATTAACCGGATTGGTACATATCCGGTCCATAACTTTAGCCTACTTTCCTGATTTCTACACTTCCCCTCAAGTTGGTGCATAGATATCTATCATGCCCAATTTGCTAATGAGAAACTCGAAGTTTGGTTTAAATAATCCTTTAGTAAGAACATCAGCCACTTGTTGTTAGGTTGGAACAAGCAGATGGCTCCAGCTTTAATCTTTTCTTTTATAAAATGCCGGTCAATCTCAACATGTTTTGTTCTGTCATGTTGGACTGGATTATGGGCGATGCTGATCGCTGCTTTGTTGTCACAATACAGCTTCATAGGCGTGATCACAGGTCTTCTTAGTTCCTCCAAAATCCGTTTGAGCCATGTCATCTCACAGATCCCTTATGCCATTGATCTGTATTCTGCTTCTGCACTACTTCGGGCCATTACGTTTTGTTTTTTGCTCCTCCATGTTACTAAGTTTCCCCATACAAACGTGCAGTAGCTAGATGTGGACCTTCTATCTGAAGTAGACCCCGCCCAATCTGCATCTGTATAGCTTCAATACCTCGTTGTTCATTCTTATAAAAAAACAGTCATTTTCCCGGTGAACTCTTTAAGTTTAGAATGCGGTAGGCTGCTTCTAGATGTTCTTCATGAGGAGAGTGCATGAACTGGCTCACTAGGCTGACATCGAATGCTATGTCTGGTCGTGTATGTGATAAGTAGATTAGCTTCCCAATTAGTCTTTGGCACTGGGCCGTATCCACTGGTCTTCCCTCTTTGTTTCCGAACTTCTGATTTGGATCAATTGGTGTTTCTGCAGGGCGACATCCACTCATCCCAGTCTCTTCAAGAAGATCAATCACATACTTCCTTTGTGAAACTGTAATCCCCTTTCTTGACTTGGCCACTTCCATACCAAGGAAGTATTTTAGTGAGCCTAGGTCCTTAATCTCGAATTCAGAAGTCAGACTCTGCTTTAGGCAATTCATCTCAGCAGTATCATCCCCAGTAAGAATGATGTCATCAACATATACTATAAGGACAACTACTTTCCCATTGGAGTGTCTTGTGAACATCGTGTGATCTGCTTGCCCCTGGTCATATCCCTGTCTCTCACAAATTGAGTAAATCTCTCGAACCATGCTCTTGGAGATTGCTTTAGACCATATAGAGACTTTTTCAGCCTGCATACCTGGTTTCCATATTTTTCCTCAAACCCTGGAGGTGGTCCATGTAGACTTCTTCCTCCAGATCGCCATTAAGGAAAGCATTCTTCACATCTAGTTGCTGTAGTGGCAAATCTAAGTTGGTTGCAAGTGTTAGGAGTACCCTGATAGTATTGAGCTTTGCTACTGGTGCAAAGGTTCAAGGTAGTCAATCCCATACGTTTGAGTAAACCCTTTGGCTGCTAGACGAGCCTTGTATCTCTCCAGAGATCCATCTGATATGTATTTCGTTATGAACACCCATTTGCAGCCAACAAACTTCTTTTCCTTCGGCAGTTCTGTCACTTCCCAAGTTCCATTCTTTTCAAGGGCCTTCATTTCCTCGAGAACAACTTCCTTCAATTCAGGAACCTTTAGAGTATCTTGCACATTCTTTGGAGTCTCCACACTAGACAACTGTGAGGTAAAGGCAGAGAAAACAGGTGACAGGTTTTTGTTCCATCATTTCACTGCTCGACATGGGATATCTTACACAACTTCTGACCCCTTTGCGTTTAGCAATGGGAAGATCAGACTCAGGTATATAGGGCTCGGATTCAAGATTGGGCAGGTTTGTGTGGATAGGTACTGTGTGAGGATTACCTGGATCAGAATCGGGAATGTTTTGTGGTGCAAGATCCGGACTGATCTGTGGTTCAGGCTCTTGGCAGTGTTGGATAGTTTCAGTCTCTACTCCTTGCTTCCAGTTCTTCCTCCTGTAAACCAGCAGTTTTTTTGTTCCTGTTTGTTCCCTATTCACATCTTTATTAATGTTATGAGATGACTCTATAGACTCATGATTCAAATTTTCATTACTCAAATCACTCAACTTTGTATTTATTAGGAAATTTGGGCTCTTTGTGACGGGTTGATCAGTTTCAGTTTCTATTTCAAAGTTCGAATCTTCACTTATTCTCTCCCCCTGAAGATGAGTACCAAAAAATGGTTGAGACTCAAAGAAAGTGACATCCATTGTGATAAACATTTTTTTGGATCTTATGTCATAGCACTTATACCCCTTTTGGTTCAGAGCATACCCTACAAATATACACTTCCTGGCGCGAGGATCTAACTTTTTCCTATTTTGACTTTGAATATGAACGAATGCACTACACCCAAACACTTTCAAAGGTAAATCTGTTGTCAACTTAGAGGTAGGAAAAGTAATCTTGAAGACGCTTGGGGGTGTTTGATAATTTAGAACTTTGGCAGGCATGCGATTTATAAGGAATGTTGCAGTTAGGAGTGCATCTCCCCAAAGATACTTAGGAACACCATTAGTAAATAATAATGCTCTAGTGACTTTTAGGAGGTGTTTGTTTTTTCTTTCTGCTATCCCATTCTGTTGGGGTGTATTTGAACACGAACTTTGATGTATTATGCTCTTTTTTGAAAAATATCCCCCTAGGATTTCATTAAAGTATTCTCTGCCATTATCACTCCTAAACACTTTTATTTTTTCTTGAAATTGTGTTTCAATCATTGTATGGAATACCTGAAAGATCTCTTTTACTTCAGACTTGTCCCTCAATAAATATACCCAAGTGAGTCGTGTGTGATCATTTATAAAGCTGACAAACCATTTTTTTCCATACATTGTTGAGGCTCTAGATGGTCCCCAAACATCACTATGAATTAACAGAAACGGTTTTGATGCTTGATATGGTCTAGAAGGAAAGGATGAACGATGATGCTTAGCTAGTTCACAAATCTCACATTTAAAAGAAGATGGACTTTTATTTCTAAATAAATCAGGTAGCAAATGCTTTAAGTAATAAAAACTTGGATGCCCTAATCTATAATGCCAAATCATAACATTATTAGAAACGGAAACAGAGTTGAAACAAGAATTTTGAACTTGGTGTCCTGATTCGGTTCCATCTTTAAGAAAATAGAGACCTCCACTTTTTCTAGCACTGCCAATCGTCCTCCCTGAGACCATGTCCTAAAACTCACACCGAGAGGAGTCAAATATAACACGAAAATTAAGAGAATTTGTTATCTGACTAACAGACACAAGGTTACAAGAGAGTTTAGGAACATGGAGTACATCATGCAAGGTTATGTAATTGGAAATTTTGACAGTCCCTGGTCCAGCAATTGCGGAGAGAGAACCATCAGCGATTCTAATCTTTCTATTCCCTGCACATGGGGTATAAGTTGAAAAAAAATTAGGAGCAACCTATCATGTGATCAGTGGCTCCTGAATCTATGATCCAGGAGCTATTTTGTTTAGGATTAACACTGAGGAAGGCTGAGACAAGATTACATATTTGGACAAAGGAACAGGAAGGGGTTGATTGGTTTACTCGGAATTGTGAAGATTGAAAAAACTTGTGCAGCTGCTCCAATTGCTCCTTTGTGAAAGGCAGCCCTTCAGGAGTATGTTGCTGCCCCTGATCTTCACTGGTTGCTTGAGCCGAGAAGCCCCTGTTATCAGTGTTCTTCTTCTTCCAATTCTGCGGTTTTCCATGAATCTTCCAGTAGTTTTCACACATATGCCAGTGCTTTTTGCAGTGGTCACACCAAGGCTTCTTTTTCCTGTCGTTTTCCGATTCATTCCTCATTGACACAAGAGCAAAATTGTCAGTCACAGCAGCCACTGGTTTGTTATCCTCTTCAGTTTTCAACATAACCTTCCTCCTAGTCTCCTCTCTTTTAATTTCAGAAAAGGCCTCCCGAAGAGTTGGTAGAGGATTTTTTCCAAGAATCCTAGACCTAATCTCATCAAAGACTCGATCCAAACCAGCCAAAAACAGGTACACCCGATCACTCTCTTCTTTTTTCATGAATCTTACGCTATCCGTCGGGCAATCCCACTCATCATTATAACACTGATCTACTCTTGCCATAGGGAAACCATCTCATTATAATAAACTGTAACCTCACGCTCACCTTGTTTGGATTTCCACAACTTGGTTTTTAATTCAAAAATTTGTGAGGAATTTTCAAGATCAGAATAAGTCTCTCTCACCGCATCCCATACATCTTTTGCAGTAGGAAGGAAAAGGTAAGGGCTTACCTATGGTCGGTTCCATAGAGTTAATCAACCAGACAGTGACTAAAGAATTTTCTGACCTCCATGCCTTCAGTTTCGGGTCCCCATCTCCAGGCTTCTTCACTTCTCCATTCAGATGACCAAGTTTTCCTCTTCCATCTATGGCCAGCTTCATTGATTGTGCCCATTCTAGGTAGTTTTTCCCATTCAGTTTGTGGAGAGTCAATTGGAATGAAAATTGAGAAGAGTCTCCTCCTTGCGCCATGGTGGTTTGATGTGGTTCACCACGATTAGGACCTTCTGCCCTAGAGGATGCCGAGGATCTGCCTTCTTCTGTAATGGCCGTTTCAGCCATGAATTAAGAAGGTTATTTTCGGCTCTGATACCATGTAGGTTTCATGGCAGAAAAGAAAGTATATTTCATTGATTAATTCCTGTACAAGGATTACAATATTTATAGGAAAACCATCCTATGGGAACGGGAAAGTATATCCCGCGGAAAAAGGAAACTAAATCCCTTGATTGAGTGAGATCCTTATCTCAAGGAATCTCTTTAAAAATTGAAAAAATAAACTACTTTCCTAATTTATCTCTAAGCTCCCATTAACCGGATTGGTACATATCCAGTCCATAACTTTAGCCTACTTTCCTGATTTCTACAGACGTGTCAACTTAGAGTTATGTTTGGCATGTTTCCTTTTTAGTCAAGCCATTGGATTCTCATAGAATTGTTGGTATGTTTTTGTTAGCTTTGATTAGTTTATTAGATTAATTTAGTATCAAGAGCTTTTGGGGTTAGTTCTGACTTAATTGGTGCGAGCTTTTTCTTTCTATGAATCCTCCTTGATAATTATTGTGGCCTTTTCTTTTCCAAGGGAAGAGATTCTAGGTTTGTGTGTGTGACCGTATGCATGCATGTGTGTGTATACGCAGTAAGCACCATCTTATTGCATTGTTAACGTAGCAAGCACACAAATTTCTCGTCTGCGTGTATTTGTGGTTTTGGAGCTAAAGTTTTGATAATTTTCTCTTTTTCCCGGGGGATAGGGTTTCAAAATCTTTCAAAACTTATTAACAATTGCTACTTCACATTTTTTATGAATGCAATTAACTCTGAAAGATCAAGCAACATTTCATTTCGATAAAGGAATAAATATTGAGTCTTCATTGTCAAATTAATGTGAGCTTCATGTTCTCTGTGCTTCCAGATTTTAGATCCACTGAGAGCCATGATTACTGGTGCTCCTCTTGAAGATGCTCGTCATCTTGCACAACGTTATAGTCGAATGAGACAAGAAGCTGAGACACAGGTATCTGAAAGTTGATATTCGAGTAATTACTCGATATCAAATTAGTATAATTCTTATATTGCTTGTATTCCCGTGTCTTTATGCCTCACGCACTCATAATTCACATCAACCTTTAAAAGCAAACAGGCAGTTGAAGTTTCCAGAAGACAAGCAAGGGTAAGGGAACTCCCAAACCCTGAACAGGTTGCAAAGCTGCATGCAGCGGAGGCAAAGATGCAAGAACTCAAAGCAAATATGGCAGTTCTAGGCAAAGAAGCTTCAACTGCATTGGCTGCTGTTGAATCACAGCAACAGAGACTGACTTTCCAAAGGCTTGTTGCACTGGTTTGTATGCGCATGATTTCAGGAATAGGTTTTTAGGTCAAAGCATTTAAGGCTTATCGAGTTCTCATCCTAACAAAGTTTACCCTTTGGAAGGTTGAAGGAGAAAAGAATTATCACCTAAGAATCGCGGCTATTCTTGGCGATGTTGAGGCTGAGGTAGGTCCTACATTGTTTGAAAAATCAAAACTATTAATGTCTATTTAAGCGATATGAGGTTTTAACTTCGCCTGGACATTGTATCAGATGGTGACAGAGAAACAGTGGAGAGAGTCAGCTCCTCCTGTGATTCCATCAGATAATTTCTCTGGGAACAAAATGTACTTCTTGGCTGAAGTATGCTTTCTATTTCTAAACTTGGAACCTCATTACCATCTACTACATATAAAAAAATTTGATGTTTTTTACATTTGTTTCACGTTTAGGCTTAGTTACGGCATACCATTGGCAGATATGTCAAATCTGACAGCTGCTTTTTTTGGCCTAAATTAAGCAACAGAAATGTATTTTATTAAATATCTTCAGAGAAAGCAGAAACAGATGAAAGGAGGAGGATAATATATACTCGGACGGAAAAGATGCTGCACCTTTGGAGGGAAAAATAGAATGACGTACCCTAGTGTTGAAGACATAATAGAATCTACTAGAGTTAGACTCGTCAAATCAACTATTAATGTTGCTATTACTTGTAGGATACTAGATAATGGATATAGTTTCTATTCTTTGCCACTTTGGGCTGGCTTCATGAGATTACATGCATTGAACAACTCGTGTCTGACTTGAAAACTTTCTCACTCCAATCATGCAGGCAACGCATCCCTTTACTGCTACCTCCGAGAAGGAATTGAGCTTGTCAGTTGGTGACTATGTTGTCGTGCGAAAGGTATTCATTTATCTCCTTTTTCAGAATTCTTAGTTGCTTTTTTTAATAGATCATCATTTTTATTTTGACATCTGTTTTTAGTTTGAAGATTATCGACATAGGTCAAAATATGGTCCATTGTTAATTGTTGGGAAGGACGACAACAAAGAGTATCGAATTGTTTCTGAACGCTGTTATTAAGCAGTGAAATGATGGAACAAAATTCCCCTCCTAATTTTTCTTTCTTTGCATGTCATTCTCCTAAGGAATTCCCATGATAAGAATCTTCAGTATGGATCCGAGCAAGAGTTCTACTATCTTCAAAATCTCTTAACCACTTAACGCTTTTTCAGAGGAAAGAGATCCTCTGTCCCGTTCTTCTGTCTCCCTCTCTATCCTCCCAATACTTTATTGACGCATCAGCTCAATTAAAAAAAGCTCTTATCAGAGCAAAACCCGAGTCCTCCGTTACTTTTACCTTCCCGAAAAACTCTCTTCCTCTCTGGTATTTCTCTCTCTTCCACCCAAACAATCAAGTGGCCACAAACTGACACTCATCGTCGCCAAGGACGATTCTTACTGTAATGCACTTTTCAAATCCATCACGCAAACACCACGTTGAATCAAATAAATAAAACAAAGATAGAAGGATGAGTCAGAGTACAGGCTCAGGAGAGAGAGGGTGCGTTTGAAATTCATTCTAAAATGATTTTATTTTTTTGTATGAAAATGGAAATGAAAACGTTTTCAATCTCAAATAAAAATCATTTTTGAAAATACGTTTAGTAGTTTTATTAAGAGATTATTTTCAGTATAAAAAACTCATTAATGTTCTCTCTCTCTGCTCGAGAGAGGAGAAAATGAAAATAAAAAATGAAAAACAACTAAAAGTTGAGTCGTTTTTTATTTTTCTCTCATTTTACACTAAATTAAAAAATTATTTTCATTTTTATTTTTTATCTTTAATTGTGTCAAACGCGGTTTTAGAATTTTTTTCAAAAAACGTGAAAAATAAAAATAAGAACAATTCTATTTGGGTTCTGAAAGATAGAAAGACGAGAGATAGCAAAGGCGCAGGAGAGAGTTTTTGGGGAAAGTTACTAACGGGGGATTTCCGTTTTATTCTCTTAAAAGTGGGTATTTTTATTAAGCTGATGTGTCAAAAAAGTATTGGGAGAGACAGAAGAATGGGACAGAGGATTTCCATCCTTTTTCAGAACTCTATTCAAGTATTGCCTAAAATCTTAAAATTATCGTGTTTGCAATGCTTCTTGATAGATGAGATAAACTTCTTAGCAATAAAAACAAAAAACAAAAAGACCTGAATGCTGCGTAACGTTGAAAACTTTTGGCCCTGTTTGTTACCGTTTTCAATCTCATTTTTCACGTTTTTCGAAGCAAAAAATTGAAAACACGTTTGGCAAACAAAAATTTTAAAAACAAAAACAAAATCGTTTTTGTCGTTTTGTGAAATTTTAAAAATGAAAAAAAGCTGTTTTCATTTTCTCGTTTTCGTTTTCTGAAAACGGATTTCATATTTTCTTTTTCATTTTCTTCTCTCTCTTCTCCACTGCCAACCACCCCCGACTGCACCCCCCCGCCCCCACTCTGACATCGTGATCTGGTTTGTGAACGGTCATCTTCTCCAGCAACGGCGTTCTTCTTGCTCGCGAACGGTTGTCAGAATGGCGATCTTGAACGACGGCTGAACGAGAAGATCGCAAGGAGATCCCGACGTGGATCGCGAGGAGATCGCGACAACGGCTCCAGATTGCGAGAGACGTCGTCGGAGATTCCCTCGCTCGGTGGCTATCGTCAGTCGTCGGAAGCCGCGGGTGTCACTAATCGTGGCTGCATCTGATTTACAGAGAGAGAAGAATGGGCGGGGCTGCCCCGGCCACGCCGACTACGTCAAGAACATGATCATCGGCGCCGCTTAGATGGATGGCGCGATTCTCGTCGTCTCCGGGGCCGACGGCCCCATGCCGCAGATGAAGGAGCACATCTTGCTCGCCAAGCAAGTCGGCGTCTCCCCCCCCCCCCTCTTTCTTCCCATTTCCTCTAATATATTATTTAATATATTTAATAATATTATTTATTTTAAATATTATTACATGTTTTTAAAAATTAAACTACCAAACGCAGTTTCATTTTTTTAAAAAACTGAAATTAATCTCTGAATAAAACTACCAAATGCATTTAAGAAATAATTCCAAAATGAAAATGAAAACGTTTTCATTTTTATTTTCATACAGAAAACAAAATCATTTTGCAACCAATTCCAAACGCACCTAATATGTTTTATTTATGTTTTCATTTTTTGCTTTATAATGCACATATTCCGTTCAAGTTCATCCTCATCTCCCCTTTATGACATTCCTCACTCTTATATCTTCTGTTTAGTTGTTAATTGTTTCTCAATTTCTTTTGTTTTCTTTCCACGTCATTCTTGTCTGTCAGCCAAAAGTTAGAAAAGAAGTTAACAAGATTTTCTTATTCAGATTTTTCTGATTACATTTCTGCTTACTCAGGTGAGTCAATCAGGATGGTCGGAAGGAGAGTGCAAAGGCAAAGCTGGGTGGTTCCCATCAGCCTTTGTGGAGAAGCGCCAGAGAATTCCGACCACCATCGATGTTGCTACTGAAGTTCATTGATTTGTTTGTTCTTCTGATGTTGTTCATCTCTGCTGTAACGGACAAGAGTTGGATCGACACTATTTTTGTTCAAGTCTTACTTTTGGAAATTTAAATTTTGGCATGTTTTGCCCCCATTTTTAAGGAAGAACCATTATGTGTGTATATTCTTTTGTATACATTCGAAGAAGATGGAGCGAGAATCTCTTTGGTTAGAATCCTGAAAAAGCTCAGTCATGTTCAGAGTAGAGTCATAAAAATTAATGATGTGTTGAAGTAGTTGATAGTGGGAAGCACACTATGTAAATTGGACACTGAGGTAAGGCTTGAAAACTATAAAAGCAAAAAAAAAAAAAAAAAGAAAAAAAAGAAAAGAGGCTTGAAAACTCATTGCGCAAGACTATCTTAATAAAAATATAACTCGTTCTGGTACTTATCATTAAAAGATCACGCGATAAGAATTTCCCTAAAAAAAAAAAAAGCAAGAGATCGAAGAATTTCTGTTAGAATCCATATTTATTTTTTATTTTTTATTTTTATGAATTCCCATACATTTCCGTAATGCAAAAAATTTGCTGTAACTAAACTGAGCATAAAAAGCCATTCATAAACCTCGCCAAAACATCTCCATTCCTACCGTATTCCTACGGAAAGGCTCCTTGAGGATACAACTTTCCAGGAAACATGATATTAGATGCCTTATAATTCAATTAACTGTCCTTAAATCTTAATTTTCATTTTTGCCTGTTCTACCCTGACTCACTAAATCCCATCTTGGCAAACACTACAGCTAATACCTGTTTCTGTTTGCCCTTTATCATGTTGCAGACTTGTGAAGTGCTACCAATGATGCGTAGGCACCACCATTGATCTTCATCAGCTCATCATGCTTGCCCTTCTCAGCAATCACACCATTCTTCACTACTGCAATGATGTCGGCTCCTTTGATTGTAGTAAGGCGATGAGCAACAACAACGGTTGTTCTGTCCACCATAACTCTGTCCAAGGCATCTTGTACCACTCTCTCCGACTCTGCATCTAGTGCACTTGTAGCTTCATCAAGCAAAAGGACTTTCGGGTTTTTTAGTATGGCTCTTGCTATGGCTATCCTTTGCTTTTGTCCTCCTGATAACTGTGTTCCTCTCTCCCCAACAGGCGTGTCATATCCGTTAGGCAATGAGGATATAAAGTTGTGTGCATTTGATGCTTTTGTGGCCGCTATTATCTCTTCCTCGGTGACCTCCCCTTGTTTGCCATAGGCTATGTTGGTGCGGATTGTCTCATTAAAGAGGACGGGTTCTTGACTCACCAATCCCATTTGTTGCCTCAACCAATTTAGTTTCAACTTTTTGATTTCAACTCCATCTAATGTCACGAGACCAGACAGTGGATCATAGAATCTCTCTATTAGGCTTATTACTGTCGATTTTCCACTACCACTCTCTCCAACTAAAGCAACAGTCTGCCAAAAAGAAAAAAAAGAAAGAAAAAATGAGAGCATAAGTCAAAGTAGAGAGGTATAACATAGAAAGAGTGGTTGTGGAATACCTTTCCAGATGGAATGGTTAGAGAAAGATCTCTAAAGATTTCGACATTAGGTCTCGTGGGATATCTGAAGCTAACATGTTGAAGCTCAATATCTCCGGTTACGGTTGGTAGCGTTACCCCCTCGTCGCTGCTTGAATCAATCTTAGGCTTTCTATCGAGAATTTTGAATATTGAGGCAGCTGAATCCTTGGCTTTAGAGGAATCAGGAGCCAAGGCAGTAGTTTGGGAAACCCCCATTGCTGCAAGTGTTAATGCAAAGAAAACCTGCAAGTGACATTGATATTTTGGCAATTGAATTTAAACAAAACTTCTAAAGGATTATAAAAGTTGAAGAAAACAACCAAACCCAATGACGCTTTACCTTGAAAACCTCTCCAAATGTTGCTTTCCCATCTTTCACAAGAACAGCTCCAATGTAGAAAATAAATGCATTTACATTGTAGAGGACCAAGAAAGAAAAGCCAAAACCTCCTCCACTTATTAGTCCTAACCGCACTCCAGTTTTCATGGGAACCTCACATTTCTTTTGGTACATTTCCATAACTTTCTTTTCCGCACAAAATGATGCAACAGTTCTAATACTGCCAACTGCATCATTTGCCACTTGACTAGCTTCTTCATACATAACCTGCACATTTTCAAAATGCTCACAGTTAGAGGTGCAATCTGGATTAGGCTGGGCTGATCCATCAATTAGTCCATAGTATTAGGCAAGCCTATACTGGCCCGTCTATTTACGGGCTGGATCGGTTGGGCCTGGCTGGCCATGGTCCGTGCCTATTTTTGTGCCTTTGTTGTAAGCATCTAAAGGATATTTTGGAAAAAAAAAAAATGTAAATGAGAATTGAGGTAAGACTCACCTTGGCATCAGCACTGAATCCTTTTAGAAACTTGGCCTGCAAAAATCCCTGAATAATCATCAGAGGAGACACTGCTAGGATTATTAATGCAAGAATCCAATTAGCTGTGAATGATATGATTAGCCCTGATGTGATTGTTGCTATATTCTGAACTATTAGTGCCAATGCATCGCCAACGAGACTCCTAATTGTTGAAGCATCAGAAGACAACCTCGCACCGATTGCACCACTGACAAATACAACAATAATTATTAGTTATGAATTTATATAAGTTGTCATAAATTTATGTGAAGATAGGAAAAAAAAACTTGAAAACGGTTCCTTAAATGCACCTTGAATTTGCAGGATCATCAAACCAACTGATTTCTTGGTGGATAACTTTCTCGAAAGTTAAGGAACGAATACGTTGGACTAACTTTCCACCTGCAACTCCGAATAAGAAATTCTGTACTGGAATTACCACAAAGTTGAGAAGCCCCAAACCCATGTAGATAAGTGCCCAAAACTTGGAATCCTTTCGCAGCTCACTATGATTTTCGTAGAACATGTCAATGGAACTTGAAAGTAGAAGGCCAAATACAGGGAAAGACAATCCATGTATTGCAGCAGCAATGGTTCCCATAATCAAGACAGGAAGCTCAGGCTTGTTCAAGTACGCCAACCTCCTCATGGAAACTTTTTTAGGCTTTTCAGCATCCTCATCATTTTCTGCCGTATTCTCCGCACCTCTTTCTTCAGCCTCGTGAATACTAATTGGTCCAGGAACACCAAAGCTAAGGGTAAAAGAATGTCGGCTACTTGATGAGCCTCTACTAATGGATCTCCTCATCGATAATCTTTGGCTATTAGACCTTGTCATGACCTTCTCTATCTCAAAACATGTACTGTTCTTATCCTTGTCATTGGCTTGGTTTTCTTCTGTTCCATTGGCTCCTTCTTGCAAGCGAATCAACTGGGAGTAAGCACCTTCAGGATTACTAATCAACTCGGTATGAGTTCCTACAACAGTCAGTTAATTTAAAATGTTAACTTGGTAAACAAACTTTTTAGAGCATTTGAAATGAAAAGATGACAAGTTCTAAGTCTCACCTTTCTCAACAATTTTTCCCTGGTGCACAACTGCAATAATGTCAGCATTTTTAATGGTTGTTAAACGATGAGCAACAACCACAGTGGTCCGGTTTGCCATAACTCTCACTAGTGCCTCCTGAACAATACGTTCGGACTCTGTATCTAACGCGCTTGTTGCTTCATCAAGAAGGAGAATTCTTGGATTCTTTAAGATGGCCCTTGCAATTGCTATCCTTTGCTTTTGTCCACCAGATAGCTGAGTCCCATGTTCCCCTGCCAATGTATTTAGGCCCTGCAGACAAGTTAGTCAAAAGAATTGTTAAGGAATTGAAAGATTTGCTTAAATTTTTTTTTTTTTTTTTGAAGGGCTTGAAAATTTTCTTTTGTGAAATAAAAATGAGGGAAAAATAAATTGAAATGAAAAATAAGTACTACCTCAGGCAACTTGTAAATGAACTTTGCTGCATTAGCAAGTTCAATTGCCGTTTTAATCTCCTCTTCAGTAGCATTTTCTTTCCCATATGCTATATTTTCCCTTATGGTAGTTGCAAACAAAACAGGTTCTTGACTTACCAACCCAATCTTTTCTCTTATCCATTTAAGTTGTAACCTTTTCAAATCAACACCGTCAATAAGCACTTCACCTGAATCAGGATCGTAGAATCTTTCTAACAAGCTAATCACCGTGGATTTCCCACTTCCACTTTGTCCGACTAATGCGGTTGTCGTGCCGCTTGGGACATGTAATGAGAATCCTGCGAAGATTTGCACATCTGGCCTAGCAGGGTATCTGAAGTACACATTCTTGAGTTCAATTTCACCTCTCATGTCTTCCAATACAATGCCATTAGTATCATAGGCGTCGATGTTCGGTTTTCGTTTGATGGTCTCAAACATTTTGTAGGCTGCAGCCTTCCCTGAAGCAAAAGCATTCAAGCATGGAGATGTCTGGCCTAGGGACCTAATCCAAAGAGACCGGACAACCAAAACAATCACGAACGTCACACGAGTAACCGTTTTTTTTTTTTTTTAAATGAGCATCCAAGATAAAAATCAATGGAATTATTTATGAGATGTTGATACTTACATGCCTCCGGTCATGATTGCGAAAATCACATTTATAACTTCTCCGCCGGTGTATCCCTTTTCAATGATCAATTTGGATCCGAACCAAACAGCAAGTCCATAAGTCCCGAACACAATCAACAAAACTGTCCCAAGTCCAAGGCCTGAGGCCAGCCCTTGTTTCGCCATCATATTATAGGCAATGACCAACTTGCTATTGTATTTCTCAATCGCTTTCTTCTCTCCAGTAAATGCTGCAACCTAATTAGAACAAACAAAACAAAACCAATAAAATACATGACTTCTTCGCACTCTTTCGAAACAACAAACTTTAAGATGATAATTATACAAGGGGACTTACCGTTCTAATGGATCCAACAGTTTGTTCTACTACGTTGCCAGCTTCAGCATAAGCGACTTGTCCACGGCTCGCCATTTTTGACATTATAGTCGCCATGGCACCGCCTGCAAGGACTATGAGCGGAATGCAACCGAGCAAAACAAGGGTCAGAAGCCACCCTTTCACAAAGGCGATAACAAAGCCCCCCAGAAAGGTTGAAACGAGCTGTATGAACTTCCCGACCTGCCAAATTTGATTTAAGAGCATGTCAATTGTCAAGATACGATGCATATATACGTTTGAATGCTCATCAACTTTGGTCCTAAATTCAAGCAATAATACACACTACAGTGTTACCTTTTCGCCCATGGCGTCTTGAATGAGAATGGTGTCTCCTGACATTCTCCCAATGACTTCTCCGGTGGTAGTTTCGGTGTCAAAGAATGCAATGTCTTGTCTAAGAATGGTTTCTAAGTACAAACCTCGGATTCTCGTGGCTTGTCTTTCACCGGTTACCATCCAACAAGCCACCTCTGTAATGGACAACAACATAGTACATAATATTGTACATATTTAGCCACGTGACAACTGACATGTAAGGAAAAAAAAAGTGTTATTTTAAGGAGAAGTACTTACGAAGAAAAGAAGCAATGCTAGTTCCAATTGCCAAGTATACAAAATCCAAGGAAACCTGATATTACAAAAATCAAACGGAGTTAATTAAAGTCAAAGTTACAGTAAATATATTATGCATATCTTGTACTTATACGTAATAATATTTGTAAAAATCTATAGAAACTCAATTTTATAACATCTATGATTTAGACGTCGGCTAGGTCGGCTACTAATTGGTGTAAAATCTAAAGCGATTAGATTCCCTTTGGAAATAATCCGTTTCTCTTAAATTAAAGATGAAAACAAACCAAAAGTTTCCATTAACAAATGCAGTACCGGAATGAAAAAGGTTTATACTCAAAAGTTTTCACATCAAATCTCTACATTTACTGCCACAAAGATTTAAAGAAAGAGGAAAGAAAAATTCCCGTGCTCATTTATATGTTGATACGTGTAGCATACGGCACTACACGTGTCGTTGTTAGGTGCAAATATGCAACTTTTCAAAAGTTTAATTTGCATTCTATACCAAGTACTAGTAGTGGTAATCTCAACATAAATAAGACTCCAAAAAAAAAAAAGTGGGTAATATCAATGACATATAGATGTTAAATTCTCTTGAAAAAAAGAAAACGATAATAATTAGTAGGTAGTATTTTCTTTCGGAGTACATTTTTTGTTTTGTTTTTTTATGCTTTAAGTAACATAATCATGAAAAAAGATAGGAAACTTACAGTTAATTTTCAAAGTACGGAAATTTTTATTCATATTTGTGATTTGTTAACCGATATGAACGTAAAGAAACAAAAATCAAATTCAACGGCCCAAAATTTTTTATTATATTAGCCAAATACAAAAGCATTACTCAAAAGTACGTTTTCTTTTTCTTTTTCTTTTTTTTTTTTTGTCTCTCTCTTTTTCATACAAGAAAATCTTAACACGTTACTCATCACATGATCATCCGTAACCCCAATTAGAAACCAAAATAAAACACAACAAAAAACAAATAACTATTCGAACAATACAGAAGATTTCGATCATTAAAATTGTCACGAAATTACTCTAACAGTCATATACTTAATTAAGTACGTACGTACCTTCGAAACCTCGTCAAGAACATGAGATTGATCGGATTCTCCGAAGGAGTTGATGAGTTTTCCGAATATCAGCGTCATCAGCGGCTGCGACACCCCGTTTGCGGCGGCGCAAACCGTCCCGACGACCATCAGCACCACGTCAAGCCGGTCGGCGAACGAGAACAGCTTGAAAAACGACACCTTCTGCTCCTTGCTCTCACCTCGAACGACATTCTTCATCGAAGACGAAGACGGCTTATGATGATCCGCTGCTGCTGGTTCTCTCGCTTCTTGATCTTCCATAGTTAATTTGGTTTTGAGAGAGAAAATAATTAAAAAGAGAAAATGAAAAAAAAAAAAAAGTGCACGACCTTGGTGTGGCCTTGTTAATGCGGCGAGTTCTTTGTTAAACGTAACTTGGTGTTTTTCTTTCCTCGCCTATATATAGCAGAAACGCCAGGAAATCCGTTGGCGATAATTTTCCTTTTTTTCTTTTTTTTTTTTTTCCTTTCTTGTTTGAAAAGAAATTTAAAGATGATATGGAAAAGGTACTTCTGTTTTTACACGTGGTGTAAATCGGAAAAACTAGTCAAAAGAAAAAAGGAAAAAAATAGGAAAGGAAAATATTGGATCTCGCATTTAATTTCTTGTTTTCTTTTTAATTTGGGTATTATCTATAATTATCGCAGTTGCTCCTGGAAACAGCGTCCAAGAACAATCCGATATGTTGGTTCATGTTTTTTGTATTGTAAAATAAAAATATATTAAAGGGATTTCATTAAAAAAAAAGTATATTAAGCGAAAGGAAATACACGATAAAGAAATATAAATTCCATCAAATTTATTCGAAATTTCAGAACTTTCTTATACGGAGCAAAAAAAAGTTTTGTTTTTTTTTTTTGTTTTTTTTTGTTTTCTGAACGGTTAAAACACCTCATGATAATTCCAAGAGTCAAAGTGGGAATGCAAATCAGCTGGTAGGAGAATTAGAGGTGGGACCAATAATATTGATATTCCCCAATATATATATATATATATATTGAAGGCTTTAATTTCAGAATGAATGCCATTTTTATATCTTCGAGTGGGTATACAAATTTGTGGAAAAGTATTAAATGTCACAATTGCAACGAATCATAAATCTTTTCAATTTGTAATATACAATTTTGTATGCGATACAGACATGATAAAAACTTGATTAAGCTAAATTGTGATTTCTTTTTTACCAATCTAAGTTAATTAATTGTGATTAAACAGCTAAAAACATTTTAGTCACACCTCTAAAAAAAGAAAAGAAAAAAAAAAAGAAAAAGGAAAACACACACACACATTTGAGTTCCTTCCAGAAGTCCTATTAGTTCACGCGTAGCGTAGAACTCCCTAGATTCCAGCGTATAAAAGGTTAGCATATAGGCTGGTCCCTCTATATATGCCCATTGATCACTTACATGAGAATTGTAATATGTGAAAAGATTTTAGCCCCGTTTATTTCGTCGATTCGAGTTTAAAATTCGAGTTTTGCTATAGTAAAAAGCTCTAAAAAATAATCACATCTAACTTTTTTGTTACAGTAAAAAGCTCTCACATAAAGTCACATCTCAACTCGAATTAAAAATTCGAATCAACGAACTGAACGGCCCTTTATTTTTAGTGAAAAAACACTGTAGCAATATTGAGTCATGAAATAAATATACAGTTAGACTTAAAAATCATTTTTTTTTATGAAGGTTATTATTGAAGTTAGAGATTTTAATATGTTTTAAAAATACAGAAAATGATAAGTTCCTGAAAACATAAAATAAAACATGACATTCCATAAATTGGACGGAAGACATATTTGTAATATACTAATCCCTTAGTAATTTGATACGTCAATGTGAACCCAAAGAATCCGACTGTCTACCCTGGAAAAAAATCGGTTTTTCTTTTCTTTTTTTTTTTCCCCCATGAAGTACAATAGAACTACCAAAATTAAAAATTAGAGTGTAGGAGTTTAAATTTTTTCTTCTTACTTTTAATTAATATCTTTTTGACTAGTATAGTTGTTTGACTAAAAATGATATTAATTAAGAAAAATAAATAAAAATTTAGACCGATATTCTATGAAAGATATTTGTCTCCTTTCTTCAATTAAGTAATATTGAAGAAAGGAGATAAATAATAGTAATTCATGCACAATTAACGTTTGCTTCCTTTAATTAAGAAAAATAATAGTAATTCATGCACAATTAACGTTTGCGGAGTTGATAACCTACTTATCAAGTCCTTGAAAAGAAAGAAAGAAAAGTCTACATCTGATAACACCCCATACTGAAAAAAGGAAGAAAATAATCGACAATATGGTCAATGTTTCTTCTGCTTTTGAGGTGATCTTTTGCATATGTCAAAAAGTAAAAATTATTCCGTAAGAAAAAAATATTCTATCGATAGGATACAATACACGATCAAGTTTTCATCAAGCTCCGTTAATCAATTGGTATAAGTGCTTAATCCACTTTTTTTTCTTTTATGATATTTAAAGGTTTATAACTATATTTGTTTTAGGGTTAATCTCATAAATAGTAAGGTTTATTCTTAATTTCATTTTTGTTCTTAACTTTTAAAAATGTCTCAAAACTGTTTTTTTAAGGTTTTACTCTGTTTCTATTTTAGTCATTTCGTTAGCTAAAGAGTCTTTGTAAATTTGATATCAAAATTAGAAACATATAAAGTTTAAAAAGTGAAATAATATGAGAGAAAAAAAACATAAGTTCATTTTCATAAATAGTCTCTAAATTTTAGATGTTTTTAATTTTGGTCCCTAATTTAGACAGATTCTGTCAAATATAATTTTCATAAAGAGTCTCTAAATTTTAAATGTTTTCGATTTTGGCCTTAAATTTACACATATTCCGTCAGATATTTAATACCTAATTAATGGAAGGTAAAATCTTAAGAACCAACTGTGAGACGTTTTAAAAGTCAAGAATTAAAATGAGATTGAAGGTAAATTTCATGAACTTTGTGATATTAACCCTTTGTTTTAAGTAGTACTGTATTTTATTTTTGTACTTGATTAAAGAATTATCCTCTTTTTCATTCATTTATTATTTTAATAAAAAAAAAAGCTCCATTTGAATCAAGTGTTCAGAGCGGCCGGTTTAGAACGGCACTAACGTAAAGGTGCATGAGAATAGTATCTTTGTCGTCATTTAGAAAATAGATAAGAAAGTCCAACAAAATATATTTTGTATATACTATTATATATTCAGCTACTTTGGACTTGAAGAGACAGTTATTGAAACATATTAAAGTAATCACTAATTCAAACACAGAAAAGTAGGTTCATGAAAATTAGAAAGTATTAGAAAGGAGGTAATAATTCAAGCTTTCAGTCACAATCAAAATTATAAAGTATTGGGAATGAATTTAGGTTCATGAGGGTATCACCAGGAATTTTCAAAAGAAAAAAGAAAAAAAAAATGTATAACCAGGAATTTTCATCCTTCTAAACCCTTTTCTATTTTAAAATAAATTTTGTAATTGAACATGGAATATTCATAGCTAGACGCTATACTTTGACTTCTGATAGCCAACCGTTATATATACATAAACACTTATGCGTAAGGACCAAGTTACAAGTTTTGTTTGTAAGAGATTTAATTTTGACTTCTGATAGTCAACCACTATATATACATAAAAACTTTTGTGTAAGAACCAAGTTATAACTTCCAGCCAAAAAAAAAAAAAAAAAATGGACGAAGTTATAAGTTTTGTTTGGTAGAGATTTATTTAACTACACTATCTCTATATGCTTCGCGTGCAAGTTTAGTTTACTCCCTATTAGTTATTTTTTGCTTGGAGTTTACTCGCTAAAAGTTTATCAACATCGAAATATACCAAAAAAAAAAACTATATTTATCTTATATACTCTTTTTTTGCTAAATATCTTGTATACTTAATATAAGCGGTTCGTGAATTCTGTTTTCTAGTAGATATAAAACCTATCTACTAATTAGTTAAATTATGATAAGTAAAACAAAAAAAGTTGTAACGGTAGTAACTTTTCTTTTGCTGGATGGTGATGTTAAAAATTAACAAAGCAAATCAGAATCTTTATCATAAATATATATAATCATACACCGGTTCTCAAATTATTATCTATATCAATTTTTTGTTATATCAAATGATGTACCAATGTTTTAATTAGCATATCTATATATCTACATATTTACAAAGAATCATATATCTCATATTAAAATAAGGAACTCATGTACCAGGCCTGCCAATTGATAAAAGAGTAATTTAGAACAATAGTTCCTAAACTCTTTAGTAGGTGACAGTTTAATATTTATTATTTTAATTTAGGCGAAAGTTCTTAAAACATTAACAATTAAGCCATTTTCATTAACTTTTAGATGGCATTATTAACTTGGCCTCAACATGTGACTTTTTTGCAGTGAAAATACTAAGGCCACATTCGTTTCGCGAGTTCGTATTGTGTGGGTTTAAACTTTTAAATTTGAATCTATATGTGGATTTTTCGTGATTCGAAATAGCGTTTAGTAGTATAAGGTATAAATAGAGAATAAAATTTGAACCAACAATTGGTTACATTATTAGAACTATAGGTTTTCAACATATGTGAGTGAAAATGGTTGGTAGGAACCTTTGGATTGAGTTTTGAACGGCAAATAGGTTAGAACCTTAAGAACTAGGATAGGGGGAATAAAGTTAAGTTCAACTTTTAATTTTGGGTTCAAATGAGCTCTAAAGTCAAGTTCAAATTCAAAATGTTATGCAACCAAATAAGAATTGCGTTTGCTTCACTTTAAGTCACCAGTTGTGTTTTCAAGTTCAGCACCAGCACCCCCTCCAAGTTAAATGCTACAATAAAATAAACTATTATCCCTTACTTAATAATAAATTTCAAACAAAAATAATTAATCTCCTTCATTTTTTACTATTTACAACTCTAGTTTTGGTATAAACAAACACAAACTCAAATTAGATTCTCAATGTTAAACTTTAACTCAAATGTGTAAATCTAAACACAAACTCAATTTACAACTTTAAATTCTGCTTTTAACTTGAATCAACATATTTTACTAAAATCACCCAAACTCAAATCATAAAATACACCTATGAAAACATAGAAGAACACACCCAAATTGCTGGCTTGAAAGAAAGCAAAGGAAACATAAAGAAAGAAAAGAAAATAAAAAAGCCTACGTGCTTAGAACACCAAACTTTAAATAACAAAAATGAACACTTTGAGGCCATGTTTGGTCGCTTGTATTATATTTTATTGTATTGTGTTATCATAATACAATACACTATTCGGTGTCATTACGTATTGTGCAAAGGGTAAAAATGTAAAATTTTAAAAATTTTAGGGTCAAAATTTAAAATTTTAAGGTCAAAATGTAATTTTTCAAAATTTTGAGATCATAATATAAATTTTCAAAATTTTAGGATCAAAATATAATTTTTTTAAAGTTATGA